GAATACGCAAATAGAACTGATGTAAGAACAAAACTAATATACTTTTGCGATTGTTTTTAAAAACGTGTTTAGATTCCTATTTATCGAGGATCTTATGATGTTTTACTTCCGAGTACATTTGAAGATCAAAACTATCATGGCGTCGATGGTTTTGCTGACTTAACTTATGACAAAGAACCGGATACTTCTATAATACGCTCTGAATCTGCATTTGTTGCCATGAGAGATTTAATTGTTAATAATCCACATGAAATCACAATGATTGTAGTTGGACCCATGACAAACTGTGCAATTTTATTACGTATGTACGAAGATGTCGCTGAAAATATTAAAGATATACGGATTATGGGTGGAAATCATCATGGTAAAACGATTTTCTAAACATTATGCACCCCCAAAATTAATATTTTTCTAACTTAGGAGTTGGAAATGTTGTGCAAGCAGCCGAATTCAATTTCCACATGGATCCGGAAGCTGCCCACATTGTTCTTGCCAGTGCAAAGTGTCCCATGCATTTGTTAACGTGGGAATGTTGTAATATTAATGCTAAAACACCCATGGTAATATACTGATCACATAAACTTCCAAAAACTGATGATATATATCTTTTAAGTCTTGGCGATTAAAAGAACTTGGAACTGCAGCCGCTGGAAGAACATGGCAGCTCATTCATCGAGCCGAATCAAAAATTTACAGCAAACCAAAGGAGCATTGGCATCCCTGTGACGCTTATCTGGTTGCCACTCTTCTGTATCCAGAAATAATAGTCGATCAAAGTATGGAACACGTTAATGTTGAGCTGGCAGGAAGATTGACGCGAGGACAAGTTGCTATTGATCATATGCACAAAAGGAAACCTAATGTTAACCTCATAAAAGAAATTAATTATAAAATGTTTGAGAAAATCATCATGGCTGCCCATACGCAACTATAAACACGATTAAGTATTCACACCTTTTACTTGTTTGAACATTTACAACAAGAAAAATAATAAGATAACATTATTGCCAAAAGTAAATTAATCATACCTGTAAATACAATTTTCAACTATGGTACATAATACGTTTGTTGAGTCGGCCTTCTTGTGTAAATTTATTTGATTTCGCTTAAAAACGTGGCTACGTCGTAGTTGACGAGCGATAACTTATTATTATTATTATGCTCCGTCAATCACTTGTCTGTTTTCGCCTGTAAAAA